GCTACTATATCTAGGTAGTAGATGAACGTAAAATGAAATTGAATCATTTGTAGTGACTTATTTAAGTATTATTCTTCTAATAGTTCATTATTTTTTCAATATTTTTTTTTTTTTTTTTTTTTTTTTTTTTTTTTTTTTTTTTTTTTTTTTTTTTATTATTTTATATTACTCTCCTTCAGGGACACTCAGCCCCCAATTCAGCTAGATGTTGCCTCCATGTTGCAGTAGAGCTATTGCTACTCCGAGAGAGGGAGGAGTGATCTAAATGTAGAGAAGTCCAAAGCTTTGGAAATCAATTCTGATGTTTTAATGGTGAGATAAGACCTTTTCTATCGCAGTAAATCAAGCCTACTGACAATTTGCTTTACCAGTTTACAGGACTGTTACATTTTACTGCTCCTGCCACATTATGCTCCTAATATTTTGTTTCGGTCGTGTTCGCCATTTTTTTGGCACTTTCCTGACGCGAATGAAATATATGAAGTGCGGTGTTAAACTTGCTCGATAAGAAGATTTACTGTTTTTTAAAAAAAATAATTGCTTTACTCTCGAGTTCGGTTCCTGTCTCCCCCTGAGTCAAGACTCTGATCATCCCTGAATCTGGACTGACGAACTCTCATCGAATGACCGTGTGAACAAGCTCTACCGATGTGATCTCCTACCTGCTTTGGCCTGCTTCCCTCTTTTAGTACCTGAATTGCTGTTAGTACCTGAGCACCTGCAGCCCCAAATTCCACCTAGCCCTAGCCTGTGAGGCCATTTTGTCTTGAAATTTAAGATCGGGTGGAACGGGCGGAATGTTCTTGTATCAGGAAAGCGTCTTTTTCTGCCGTCCTTAAATTTCGAGGCGAAATGGCTCTCTCTGAGGCTGAGACTAGGTGGAATTTCGGTCTTCGGGGGACCCAGGGTACTCTCGTTTGTGTGTCTCTGTGTGGGTGTTTGTCTGTGTGTGTGTGTCTGTGTGTGTGTGTGTGTGCGCCTGTGTGTGTGTCTGTGTCTCTGTTTTTGTGTGTCCGTGGCTGTCTTGATCCTGTTTGTCTGTGTGTCTGTCCGTCTGTTTGTCTGTTTGTGCCGGGAAGCAATTTACAAAAACAAACCCTGTGTGAAAACGAATGCTCATGAGACTCTCGTTGAGTTTTCGGAGAGAGAGAGAGAGAGACACACAGAGATAGAGTGTGCAGCAGTGCTGAACCGAGCACTATTATACAAGTTGCCCACTAAGCATCTCAGAAAAGCACGCAGAGCTTAGAAATTTACATAACTAATGCTCCTGTGAGTGGAAATCATGAGAACGGGAAAACTTGGAGACACACACAAAAAAAAAGCAGTGAAGATTGTTAATCACACTTTGGTCTCTGTTCAAACACAGCTCTGTTACAGTCGTGTATCGATTCGCTTGTTAATCAGAGGGGAGGTTGGTGATGGCCAGACAAGGGGCAAAGCCTTTCTTGCTAGATTCGCTATTAGCTTGCTACCTGCAAAGTCCATTATCGCAGGAGCCCAGACTCCATTGCAGTCGGATTAAAGAGGCTTTTTTTTTGTGTTGTGTGGGTGATGTTTTGACAGAAGTGGTTTGTGCCTGGCCTGGGTAGATAGGATGACGCCTGGCGTTTCGAAAGGCTTTTTTTTAAAAAAAACAACTTCGACGCTTGGTTTTCATGCGACTTAATAGACTTTCAGAAGCAGTAGAAGATTAGGGCAGGCAAGGCACTAACGTCAGCTAATGCACTTCACTGTGCTGCACTTGAAATAAAGCGATATTCAATCCGACGCACAGTAATTTTCTTTACTTAATGAATGGAACTGAGACTGGGTAGGGCAGGGCACTTAATTACCCAACATGGGTAAAGAAATATTTACTGGAAACCTCCAACAACAAGTCTCGGTCGAGGGCTGGTCAGTTTCAGGGCAGGGCCCAGGAACTACCATTGCAGGGTGATAGAGGCAGAGTCCGTGTGGATTTCAAGTCTATTTGTCCGTGAAAAATAGAGGCTTGAAGGGCAAGCAGATAATAATAATAATATAATAATAATCATGACTTTTGATTATAGGGTAGGTAATTGGAGTTGAGGTACAGACAAGCCATGATCTTATAGAATTGGGAACAAGCTCGAGGGGCTGAATGGCCTACTCCTGTTTCTACAGCGCCTTATCATGTAGTTGAGGCCCGACCAGAGCACTGAGCAACTTGAGTCTGATTCCTGGGGATCTGACCTCAACTCATTTGTTAGCGCAGCCCAGCATCTCGCTTGCCTTGCTCCACTTTTGTCTGCGAATACACAGTCACTACCCTTTGCAGTTCAAATCCTGTGAAGCGCTTTGAGACATGGTAAGCCTCTGTACCAAATGCAAGGATTATTATTATTATTATTAATATTATGGCTGCTGCCTCCTGCTGTTTTGACACAATAAGCAATGAGTCAACCCTAGATAACTAGTTGACTCATCGCTCACTGTCGAGCTTTTTTTCAGTGCCCTCTCTGCTCATCTGTGGAGTCCTGTAGCTCAGTGGTTAGAGCACTCGCTATGCAAGTGAGAGACCTTGGTTCGATTCCCAGTGGGGTGAAACCTTGGGCATGTTTCCTTCCACACGCCTGATAATAATAATAATAATAATAATCCTTGCATTTGATATAGCGCTTTTCACGTCGGGAGGACGTCCCAAAGCGCTTCACAGAATATACTGTAAAGTGAATTGACTGTATATTTGTGGGCGAACGCGGCAGCCAATTGCGCACAGCAATGTCCCACAAACAGTCGTAGATTGAAAATGACCAATTTATTATTGTTTTTGTTTTTTGGAGGGATTATTATTAGGCGTGTGGAGTAAGGAAACTTGCCCAAGGTTTCGCCCTCTGCCTGGAATTGAACTCAGGTCTCTCACTTGCAAAGCGAGTGCTCTAACCACTGAGCTACAGGACTCCACATAATAATATGATATCCACATGATAATAATCCCTCAAGAAAAAATAATAAATTGGTCATTTCATTCCACAACTGTTTGTGGGCCGCTGCGGTGCGCAATTGGCTGCCGCATTTCGCCCACAAATATACAGTCAATTCACTTCACAGCATATTCTGCGAAGCACTTTGAGACATCTAGAAGCCGTGAAAAGCGCTGTGAATGCAAGGATTATTATTATTGTTATCTCTTGATAAGTTCTAAGTCGTCCATGGAGTGCATGTGCCTCCTTTACGTACAAGATGCCTTGCTTCCCTCTGGGAGTCACGAAGCAGCAAACTTCGAACGGCGACATAGGAAGACTTAGAAGTGATTTCTTGTCACCAACACACAGATTAAAGTCTAATCATCCTGTCAGTGGCAAGGCAGGAATTTTTACGGCTCGTCATTCAGCTGCCTGTAACCTCAAAGTGTAAGTCACGTCTTTGGCCGGGAAGACATGAGGGCAGAACGCTGGCGACAGTACAGTGAAGTTTCCCTCAGTCACACCAACGTGTGAAGGTTATCGCCTCCTGGTAACCGCGACCCGTTTAAGAAGCTTCGGAGGTTATTTCCAGTCAGTGACACGACAGCGATTAAAACACGAGCCTCCAGTCTCATCGCTTCCTTGCACTTTGCACTGGATCATTCGTGCAAACGGCAACAAGAGCGACAACTTGGATTTATGAAGCGCCCTTTTGTTTGCTCAGCCGGGTGTTCCTGAGACACGTGGAAACCCACCACCATGCTTTAGAGCATCCAAACCAGACTAAGAGCGGGGCAGGAGGATGGCTGAAGGCACGGTTGACAAGAAAGGTCTTGAAAGGTCTTGAGACAGGACCCAAAGCGTATTTGGAGAAGCATTTGGAGAAGTGAGATCGGCACAAAACTCTCAAGCACCGTTTCATTGATTCTCGCGGGGACCGTTATGCAAACAGTGATCAGAGATTTATCTCCATACAGTTTACAGCAACATGCGGTTATGTGCTTCCTTTATGGCTGTGAACCACAGATTACAGCTGGCTACCACACAGTCTTGAAGAGGAATAGTCAATTGAATGGCTTCTGTTCGTGACAGTTTACTCACTGGGATTGGAATATTTGCCCAGGGAGGAGTTGGAATTGAATAATGTTGATGTTTCTGCCGCAGTAAAGTCTTAACTCAATGCTCGTTTAGTCGTTCTGGGACATCAGAGTGAAGTCTTCTTCGACTGCTTGGAGTTTTGAGCCGATCTCGGGAGAGACGTTTCCAGTTGAGGGTCTGGTAGCTCGGAGGTGTCCAATGCTGCGGTCAAAGAGAGAGGATTTTTAGATGGGTTTCAAGAGCATGGAGGCTCTAATATCTATCTTTTCAAACGTGCCAAAGACTACCTCTCTCTCCCCCCTCCCCCCGCTCGGCATCCAACCCCTCTCTGACCCCTTTGAAGGCCTTTGAGATATTATCATATGCGAAGGACTCTGCATAAATGCATAAATGCATGTTGCTGTTGTTGTTGTTGTTGTTGTTTGTCATTGCTGAAAGCACTTGGAGCCACCTCAGTGCTGACTCACCTTAGATCTCAGTTCACTCGGGATTGAGATGGGTTGGGTTAAGTTGGAGAGTTCCGTGTTTGTTTCTCTTCCACGCTGTAGGAAGGACCAGATGCGTCCGTCAGGATGCTGCGTGACTCGGGTGGGGGGGGGGGGAGAGAAATTGTACGCCTGTTACCCTACGCGAAGGAAGGGGGAGAGGAGAGGGAGACATAGATTTGTTTTGTTCTCTCGAGTCATGGAGGTCACAGGGCTGTGAGGTGCTGTGCAGTTAGAGTAGGTAAGCTGCTACAATTCTGTAGTTTCCAGGATGCTACCCCCCCACCCCACACCCCCCCATAGTTAAGCGCTCCGGGACGCTATCCCGTGTGAATGGCACTGTATAAATGCAAGTTGTTGTTGTTGTATTTCGCACACCCGACAGTCAGCATCTGTTGGTGAGCGAGGGAATGAATCTTGACGGCAGCGTCATTGATTGATGTGCTCTGTGTCTCCCTCTCCTCCCACCTTCCCACCACCCCTACCGCAGGACAGAGACCTTGTCATGACCTTTAACACCTCACTACATCGCTCGTGGTGGATGGAGAACGGGCCGGGATGTGTGGTCACCCCAGTGACTGCTCCAGAGCAGGCTCCAGAGGACCACCATGTTATCACAGTCAGAGGCTGTCTGTTGGACTATCAGTACATCGAAGTCACCAGCAGCTCTTTACAAGTTCTCCTTGCAGTAAGTGATAATTTCAAAATAACAATACCTATTTATTGTTGTGTTTGCTACCGATCCCTTCAAGTCAGGAGGACGTCTCAAAGCGCTTCGCGGGCTTTGCTGTAAAGTGGAGTGACCGTGTACTTTGTAGCCGTAAAAGAAATAACAGGTGTCTTGGTGGGCATCGGTTTTCTCGGAAGGAAAATTGGCTCCAAACCTGCGAATTGGCTGCGATCGTAACACGTTGCGAATGAAATACGACATGAATTCAACGGCTAAGTTCGTAACTCGCGAAATTATTGACGGTCAAGACGAGCTTCCAGTTTAGCCTGTGTCAGCATTATAACGGAGTATATTCTGAATATAACTTGCCGGGTGTGTTAATGATTCTACCGCAGAAGCTGGGTCCCCGAGGCCTTGCTCAAGGTCTCCTTCCTCTTCATGACTCTAATTAAGACGGAATTTTAAACCCTTATGTCCCTACACTCTGGAACTTCATCCCCAAACCACTTCACGTCGCAACCTCTTCCCCAGCCCCCCCTCTCTCTTTCTCTCTCTCTCTCTCTCTCTCTCTCTTTCTCTCTCTCTCTAAACTTCTTTAAAATACCCCACCTTTCCGATCACCTCCGGTCTCCCTCCCAACTTGCTCACTGTCCCAGGCCGTCCACTCAAAACGCTTTGAGACATTCCCGTCCCCTTCACTCCACCATCGGCGGTCGTGCTTTCGGCCATTACGCCTCAACCCTCTGGAAGGCCCTGCCCCAATCCCTCCGCTTCGCTCCTCTTTGCCCATCTTCAGATCCCCCCTGTGGACCTTCCTCTTCGACCGCGTCTACGGTCACCTCCCCCCCTCTCCTCAGCTCGGCGTCGCACTACACCGCTGTTAAGTGCTCATAGACCGTGAAGGACACGTTAGAAATGTAAGTCATTGTTTTCCAACATGTTAGGGAGAATCACAGGCTTTCCTTTTCAACCTTGGTTCCTCCAAAGGCCTTTGTTGTCTGCGATCTCATTGATTCAAGGAGCCACAGAGAATTATTTTGTGTTCTGTTATATTGGCAGAGAGGTGTCTATCCTGGACTGGCAGATAGTATTAAGTGATAGGAAGTTAATTCAGCAAAAAACCTGAATGGCTTTGTGGTGAATCCCTTAATCAAGATGTCCCTTTTGCCTTCAAAGCTTGGTTCATAGACATCAATGTGTCCCTTCCCATTGCTTATCCAATAGTATCAGTCTCTCTTCATTCAAACTGATGTGAAGAATATTGTTTGGCTGGCATTTTACCAATGCAGTGTGCTTTTGACATTTTAAATCATTTTGATAGATTTTTTTTTAGGAAGCCAAATAAATAGATTTGAGATGTTTCGGTGAAAGACTCTAATGATCTGTCTTCCCTCACCGAGCAATATCCCGGTAATCTTCTGATTTAACTTAATGTTGCTGTCATCCCCACTTACACTGTCGGCTGATAAATAGACGTTTCGAAAGTAAGTAGAAATTGGAAAATCAAAAACCGTTTTCTCACCGCATTCCACCTTATTGCCGCTGTGTGCTTCATCTGAATAAAATTGCTTTTCAAACGATGAGCTAACCCAACCTGTGATGGAAAGCGCTCGTCACTTCTCCACTGTCTCTCCCAGGTATCAACGAAAGCCACCAGCCTTTATCTCTGGAGAATAATCTTGTTCTCACCCAGTCCAAATGACTGGAATCCAAATTATGCCTGAATTTAAGACTCTGCTACCAAATTTGTGCCCACGAGTACAGTCAATCCGCTTTACGACATACCCTGTGAAGCAATTTGAGACGTCTCAACCAAGTGATAAGGATTATTACAACTATTACGTTTCTGTGTAATTGTGTGTTTTAAGATAATAACAATTTTGAAGATGGGTCTTGAAGACGGGGAGAGAGGGTGTGAGAGCCGGGGGCTGGAGGGGGGTGGTTTGGGGTTTGCCTGCTGCAAAAGTTTCATTCGGCTTGAGTTTCTCTTCCCATTTTACAAGCTTCTATATTAAGCGCAACCTCATTTTTTTTATTGATTTCTGAATCACCGCTTTTGATCTCAAAGGAGCCATTAGCTCGGATCCCATCCATCTTGCCATCTCGGGTGGACATAAAGGGACCTTTAAACTCGATTTCCCTGATGCCCATCTGCGAAAAGTTGGGAGGGGGCTTTGGTGGGTGAGGGCATGATTTCCACCTGAGGTCAAGATTTAGTCTTTATTTACCTGGTGTTACACAACATGCAAATTGTGAGCCAGTTCTTCACTTCTGCCTCAACTCTACAGCTGTTTTTTTCCATCGATACTTTTAAAAATTAAAACAAAGAACTCAATCAGGACCAGAGAGAGAGAAAAAAACGTAGGAACCTGATTAAAAGGGATGAACTCCATTGATGTTGAGGGTTTGGATGTTTGACTTTGATGTTGGTCATGTCTTAAAGTTTCGATCTGTCGGGAAATTAATCACTATCTCGAACGCGTTCAAACTCTAGATGGGTAAATCTGCCTCTTTCTCTTCCAGCTCCTTGGCTTTATCTACGCGTCTTACGTCAGTAAAGTGTTCATGGAGGAGGAGGACAGCTGTAAGTCCCTCGATGTTCCTTGAGTAATAAGAGTGATCGTTCCCTGTGTTTGACACGGCGTCTTTTGCGACGGAAGGACGCCTCAGAACGTTTGTTAATAAATCTATGGAATAGGCTCCCTGGAGAGACGGTGGAAGCAGAAAATGTCGATTCCTTTCAAATGCAAATTACATTGATTTCATTTAGGAAATAATATTTGGACATACAGCGTATGAATATTTCAGGACATGACCTGTGCATGCGACTGCGACGTGGAAGGCGAACAGGTCTTTCTTCATCCAGCATTTCCTATGTTCCTATGATTTCATTGTAAAGCGAAGTGACTGTGTATTTTATAATAATAATAATAACAATAATACTAATCCTTGCATTTGATATGGGGCTTTTCACGTCTTTGAGACGTCTCAAAGCGCTTCACAGGATATACTGTAAAATGAATTGACTGGATATTTTGTGGGCGAAACGCGGCAGCCAATTTTGTAGGCGACCGAAGGACAGCCAGTTTCCGCACACAGTTTTGAGGCAGAAGTGACAGGATGATACGGGAGGAAGCTTTCTCTGTCTCATCTGACTTGATTGCATCCTGCGATTGGTAGCAGAAGAGGACAGAAGGAGGGAAGGAGGGAGGAGAGAGCTAGGAGGTAAAGTAATGCATTGGAGGAGTATCATCACAGTACATGTCATTTTCTTTCTCATGTGGTTTCAGTTGATTTTATCGGAGGATTTGATTCCTATGGTTACCAGGCTCCTCAGAAGACGTCTCACTTACAATTGCAGCCTCTGTACACGTAAGTTCGGCCCTGTTATTGCGTCAGTCCGTTTATAGTTGGGGAGGGAGTACGGATCCAATAGCTCAGTCGTTGAAACCACTGGCTAGTGCAGAACCCGACCCACACAGCACAGGAAGGTCACAGGTTCAATCCCTGCTCTGCGATGGACCAGTGAATCTAAGACAAGAGCACAGCAAGAGGACACTATCCCAACACCAATCACCTCACGGTACACACAGGAACCCGTTTGGTTCTTTCAGAAGAAAATTAGATCGATTTCTTTTCAATATCTTGGGATTCAGTATCTAGTTTGGGGCAGGACATGTGTAAGTGACTGTCAGGAGGCTGGAAGGCGAACTTGGTCTTCTTCTGTCTAGCAATTCTTATGTTCTTACGAACTCACGTCAGCAGCGCTCATGTTGAAACCAGACATCTCAGATGTAAAGGTCTCATGCTGTCGGTCATCTTCTGCCCTCCAATCCTCCTCATCCCCAGACTCGTACTTTGGGATGTCCACCCATGTGAAAGGCGCTATGTAAATGTAACTTCATATTATATTGTATTACTTTCAAGATTTTAAATGCGATCAAGTAAGAAAATCCAGAAAAATAGCTTCGGATGAACTGAAATGCCAATTTTGTACAAGGCAACATTCCCGTTAACAGCTGTGAAGTCAATGACCCAAGTTTAACTGGGAGGTTGTTGGCCAGGACACCAGGAGAGATAAACTCCCTTCTCTTTTTCCCACGCAGACTGTACGTTATGTGACGTGAGAAGGTCATTTATTCTTTTTCTCTTTGTTTCTCTTTCAGGATTCCATCCAGGAACCCAGGTGGGTAAAAGCAATAATCCTTGTGTTTTGTGTGGCGCCTTATTACATCTCAAAGCACTTCACAGCGGTTTCTATAAAGTCTAGCAACCGTGTAGTTTGCAGGCAAACTCTGCAGCCAATTTGTGCAGAGCAACTGCCCCAGTGTGAAGCATATAAGTAATTATTTACTGCGGAGGGATCATGGGGGGGTGGTGGGGGGGTTGGGGTGCGGGGAATTGTTTGTCATAGGATTCCGCATGTGTCAGACACCCGACATTTGATCATTTTTTGATCATGTGTTTGACCCACACAAAACACAGTGAAATAACCAGCCCACCCTCACAAGCCGCATGTGAGGATTGGGCACTTGAGAGAGAGGGGTCTGCAGGCAGGGAACCGTAACCTACCTGTCAGGAGAGGGGACAGAGAATGCCGAAAACATACCTGCGGAATCACGTTAAGTCACGAGTGGTACCTTGGGTTGCGTGTATAAGCGCGTGTGTATGCGTATTGTGTGAGTGTGGCTTGGGGGAATGCACGTGTGAATGTGTTGGGGTTTGTGTGAGTGTGCACGTGAGTGTGTATGAGTGTGAGTGAGTGTGTGTGAGTGCGTGCGGGAGTGTGAGCGTGTGTGAGTGTGTTTGTGGGAGTGCGTACGTGTGTGTGCGTGTGAGAGTGCGTGCAAGTTGTGTAGCGTTGCTCTCCGCGAGCTCATGTGTTGCTGTGTGTTTCTCTCGCCCACACACATCCCCCCCCACCCACCCCCCCCCCACCCCACCCCAGGTCAGGGTAAACAGGCCACGTCCTGGTCCTAACAAGGCATCGGCGGTGACCGAGCTCCTGGTGAAAGTCTGCACCAACCGTCGGACAAAAGGCATCGCTCAAGGAATTTTTCAGTGGAAAAGAATGTTACAAGACGCACAGAAAGAGGCGGAAACACAGAGAGAGAGAGAGAGAGAGAGAGAGAGAGAAAACGGAGAGAAGGATTGTCAGGAATCGAAAGCCTCGGTTGTTACAGATTATAAATTTCAGACAATTTCATAGAAGCCGAGAAAGAGAAATTTTTTGCTATTTTTTGCGGATTTGACAGGAAAGTACACTGGTGCCCTCTGCTGTTCTATGTTGGTAACCAATGGCTGTGTTCACAAAGCAGTTCCGTTCTCTTGGACCGACCGGGTCGACAGCCCCTTCTCACTTGTCTTTGTAGGTGTTGTTCAGGAAGAGGGTGGGGCGAGGAGGTGGGAGGGTGGGTGAGGGAGGGGTGGTGGGGTGGGGGTGGTGGGGGTGGGGTGGGGGCGCAGTGCAGCTGCTGTCCCTTCAACGCTTGACAGTTCGCGAGGAGGAGAGCGAGGGGTGCGTGTCTTGGAAGGATGACATCAAAGGGGCTGAAGGTCCTTCATTTGAACCTCGCCCTTGCTCTGGTGGGAAGGAAGCTGACGTGACGTTGAAGGGTCAAACGCGGCAACACCGAAATTCTAGCGGTTCGGGGGCAACTGGAGCGTGGCCTTGCTCCCGGCTGGCAACGGGAACCTTACTCCAGCGTTCAAAGCGGGGACGAAAGGCAATCGGCGTCAAGCAGAGCGGAAGACCATAAGAGCTTCGGAGCAATCGATAGATTTTTTTGGTCAGGTCAGGGTATCGAGGGAGACGGGGCTAAGGCGGGTAATTGGAGTTGAGGGACAAATGGGGCCATGACCTAATAGACTGGTGGAACAGGCTCGAAGGGCTGAATGGCCTCCTCCTGTTCCTGTGTTCCTATGTAATGCAAACAACTGGCATTTAAGGAGAGAGAGAGACACACACACATATTTCTCTTGTAAATACTATGATGTGTTGGTTCTGTGGAACGCAAGCTGTATTGTACGTAGAGTATATTTACAGCACAGCTGGACTCCTGTGTTGTAGCAATAGAGGCAGAGTGGACGTTTAGCCCATCAATAATATCCGTTCGATTTACCCCGAAAATGAAACACGTTCCCAAGTACAACCCTAAAAAAGCTTTTTTTTAAAAAAAAAATCACAAAACTCCGCATAAGCGAATATCTTTACACGGCACAATTCCAGCTTGGAACGAAGTGACGGATTTTCTTTCCAACTCGAGCGTAAATATAAAGAAAGGACATTTTTTGGGTGGGTGAGTGACTGTACTTGTAGCACTCCCAGAGGCTGGAGCTATCCTGCGTGAAGGGCGCTCTGTAAATGCAAGTTGTTATTGTTACTCCGTTTTTGGGGCTGTAATATTGTCTGTGGACGATGGATTTTTGATGATCGCTGAGCCTGGCTGAGGTGACGAGGAAAAAGGTTCGCACAATGTTGTAGCCAATAGTGAGCGTACTGAAGAGAACTGTCATCATTCCTTCATCAGAGAGTGTAATCTGTGTGTGCGTGTGTGTCTGTGTGCGTGTGTGTGTGTGTGTCAGTGTGTGTGTGTCTGTGTCTATGTGTGCGTGGAGTTCATTGTGACCTTTCAATGTTTAGATTCCAAGTTTGTGGGCTCGCTCTCCTCCCCTGACCTCTATGCAGGTGACTTCATTGCAAAGAAAATCCGAGCTGAATTCCCAAACCGACTACCCATCCCCTTTTCCTTGAGAAGAGGCATCCAGTTCGTTGGCTCCCACCCCCAAAAATAGCCTTTTGTATTAAAATTCTATTCCTGGGAGCAGAAGTGGAGTAAAGTCAGGATTTTCTTTGTTGCTTTCTCTCTCTTACTTCCCCAACGTAACTGCTCTGAGGTGGAGTTCTCAGAGTGAGAGCTTGTAAGGCCTGAGCTGTTGTCTTTACTTGTCTGCAGGATGTCGTTTTAGTCTCACTTTGTGGTTGTTTATCTACCATTTCCTTTCTGGTAGATCTACCATCTACCATTCCCCCCCCCCCCCCAAGCTTCCCTCCCAAGGCTGTGGCTCCTCCAACACTTGACCTCGGCAGCACAGCGGAGACCAATACAGGAGTATTGCCTGGATTCCTTTAATAACCACCAACTTACACTTTACACAGCGCCTTGCAATGTAGGGTGGACATCTCGAAGGGCGTTGATAACGCATTGAGCAGGAGGGAGAAAGGCCCGATCAAACAGAGCTTTGCAGGCAGTGGGGGTTGGGGTTGGGGGGTTGTGGGGGGTGAGTGTAGAAGGCAAAGGAATTTCGAGAGAGATCCAAAGAGCAGGGACACAGGAGTCAAAGGCTCGGCCACCGATAGTGAGGGGGGTCAGAGGACCCGAGTTAACACTCGTCCAGATGGCTCGCTCGGACCTGTTTTGTGAACGCAGCCATTGGTCCAGAAGCCTTAAACTTTTTAAGAACCTACTGAATGTGTATCACAGCTTTTCTGCCACATGTTTCCTTCGACAGTGTCGCTGTACAAGACGATCACTCTGAATTTTATAAAGCCGGAGGAAAATTAAAAAACACAAAAAAAGGCGACAGCCAATTTTCCCAGTAAACTGTGTGCTGATTTTCAGAGGCTGGTTTCAGTCGGTAACCAATTACTTTCAGGTCTAATAAGCAGCAAGGGATGATGCGTCTGTGTGAATTGCAGTGGCTCTCAAGAAGGCAACGCTGAACAACGGCGTTATTAGAAGGAAAATGCGGGCGCATTGGTTCACAAAGGCCTCCTCCGTGATGTAAGGAACCCACGGAAGTGATTTCCCCACACACAGCAGTGTCCCCCCTCCCATCAGTTGTGGATTGATTGACCACATTTCCTTGGGAGGGGAGGGATTATTGCACCAGGAAAGCAATCCCCCCAATCGACTAGCAAACGGATTCCTGCTTACTACTAGGTAATCAGAGGCGTGTGGATTAAGGAAACTTACCTAAAGTTTCGCGCTGCCGGGAATTGAACCCATGTCCTCTCGCTTGCCCTCACCTCTACACTACAGCATTCCACGGTAGGTTGGGTATTTGTGGAAGGATGAGATTGAACGGTTCATTACCTGAATCTCTGTCTCTCATCACAAACCGTCCAATTTACCCCCTGTTACTTCCCAAGGAATGCAGTGTTTTGTTTTATTGTTTTTTTTCTTATTTTCACCTCTCTCTTACTTGGAAGAACTGAAACGAGGCGCCTGTTAGTGCACGATCTGACGAAAGCCGGGAGGAAAGCGTTCGACAACTCAAACCTGTAAAAAAAAAATCTCCTTTCCAGCAATCGGCAGATCACACGGTGATTAATAACTGTGACAAAACTCTTTAATGGAGAGCTATTCGTGAGAACACTTCGCAAAAAAATTCATAATCTTCAGCCATCTGCCGAGCCAACTGTTAATATCCTGCCCCCGCCACTCTGGGTACTTGTCGTTAAGGAGAGTTAAAAACTTTCTTCGGAAATATAACTCGGCAAATGATGACACACCTTCAAACACCTGCTCGTGAGATGCCACAGCAGGAGAGGAAAGGCAACATCACCATTCACTGTCCTTGGGAAAACCCAAATGTCAGTGTTACGCTCCAGTGACTCGCAAAAGCAACAGCTGCTTGAATATTTAAAGAATGGACAGTCAGAACATCGGCTCTGATTAAATAGCAGGTTTTAATTTAGTCTCTCCGCTCAGTCATCTCTGCCCATCTTTAATCTTGGGCAAAGATTAAAGATCTTTGCCCAAGTCTCTGACTCCACCACACGCCTTATAATAATCCCTCCAAAAAAAACAAAAACAATAATAAATTGGTCATTTTCAATCCACGACTGTTTGTGGGACATTGCTGTGCGCAATTGGCTGCCGCGTTCGCCCACAAATATACAGTCAATTCACTTTACAGTATATTCTGTGAAGCGCTTTGGGACGTCGAGAAGATGTGAAAAGCGCTATATCAAATGCAAGGATTATTATTATTATTATTATCGGCAGTCCAGATAAACCGAAAGGTTATTTTACCCATTGAATCTAATACTCGGTCACTCTCCCACCTGCCCCCACCCTCCCTGCACTTCACCCCCTCCTGATCCCAACCCCAAAAACTCAGGTCTAAATCCTTGAGTGTCCAGCACCTTAAGACGTCGTTCCCACATGTAAGGTGCTTTACGAACGTAATTTATTGTTGTTGTTACTTGCTCTTGATGTGGCTTTTCTTTTTATCTTGAGGCATAAACTGCGAAAGGAATTGTCTTGATGGGCCGAATGGCTTCTCCTTATCCTCCGTTTCCCTGTGTTTTTCTCCTCAATGCAATGCTGCACTCCAGTCCCAATGCACGCCAGCCCTTGAAAACCACTGACAAGTTTAGTATTTACAAAGAGAACCTAATACTACGTGTAAAAGATGACAGTGCCACTCTGATTAAATAACATGAGTATTAATATCGACAAACGTGTTCTGTGCCTCTGGATAACAGCCCCTGTGCGCTGGAAGCTCTGTAATTTACTCAGAAGCTTTCCTCTTGCGCATAATGATGTTATCAGAACTTTTAACACGTTCAGCCCCAGCTGTAGCGCTGTGTGAGAGAGAGAGCTCTGTGTGGCCAGTTACATGGTTCCAAGGTAAGTCTGTCCCGAGCTGCACTGGTGTCTTCGCACAGTGATGTTTGCGTGGAGGAGAGTGAAATAAAACAAAATGTCCACATTAAGTCAATCATATCAGCTGCCAGTTCCCTCCGGCAACGACTTGGGTGATGGACACCGCGGAGTCTTCGGTCTTGGAAGGAGTGAAGATCACTCGGGAACAGGCTGAGGAGGTTTGAGGCCATCCCTTGGGCACATGGGTCTGAAGGTAAGGCAAGTGGATGCCGAACAGAAGGTGAGCGTTGCTGATGAATCTGCGCGAGCGCTCACAGTATCAAGGGCGGCTCTACAGCCAACGCAACCGGTCTGCGTGCGTTCACAGTCAGGCTGGGACGCTCCTGTCTTGAAGAAGAGACGTCTCAGCGGGGACCTTGCAGAGACAAACGTCTCTTGTGGTGTGTGGTTTGCCTCGGAGCCAGGTACGCAACGTTTTGAATGGGATTGATCAAAAAGAACAAACTCGGGACCACAGTCTGGGACGCACCGAGAAAGTAGAACAAGAGGACCATCGCCAAAGGGGGCAATTTCAGTACCAACCAGTACTTATTTTTCCCAGAGGGGAATTAATAACCGGAACCCGGGTGACCCAGGTTGATGCGAGGACACGGGGCCTTATTTGTAGGAAGCAGCTATATGCTGTGATGGGAGGATGGTTGGGTGGAGGCTCTGGAATTGGATCAAATGGGGCCTTTTTGGTCACCCCAACCAATCT